GAAAATTATTGTTGTCGATTAAAAAATCATAGCTAACATCAATTGAAAAATAGTTTTGTCAATATTCGTTGAAAAAACTTTAATTAAATTTGGTTGAGAAATAACTCTAATACATGTTTTAATCTATATTCAATTCAAAACAATACTAAATAGCTTCCATAAAAAAGAGTATATTAATGTTAATTGGAAAGAATTGTGTTAAAAACACCAACATATCAAACATTTTTGCAAGATAAATGTATAATAGAAATAGAACAGAAACTTATCTTTTTATTCTAGTTTACTCAATCTAATAAACAACGTCCAATTATCTTATAAGAAATTCTTTAAGAGCTTTACTATAATCAAACAGGTTTCACAAATATTCCAATTATGTCACTTCTAAATCAAATACACAAAGTTATTTCTAAGGAAAATGATACTTGAACAACCATTTTTGACAACATTTAGACACGCGCACACGTGTCAAAATCTGAGTGGTCCAGTTGGAAAAATTAAATGAAAATGGACCACTCAGATTTTGACACGTGTGCGCGTGTCTAAATGTTGTCAAAAATGATTGTTCAAGTGTCATTATCCTATTTCTAATAATCTCCTCTATCTCTCTTGAGATAAGGAAATAAAAATATCCTTTGAAACTAAGTTTTTATGACTTTCCACAGTATATTTTAAGTGTTTTTCTTAAGACAAAAGAGAGAAGTTGTTTTGAATACAAGAAAAAGTTCTCCTTGAGATAATATGGGATTTAGAAACAAAACAAAGGAGATTGCAAATCAGTTAATTTGTCACATTCTAACAGTAGTTCAGTGATTGTCACAATCTAAGGTCCCATAATATGACTCAACTTACATAGACTTAGACTCATTACTTAGAAATATAGATAGATAATTGTCAGCTGGCTATCTAAAAGTTCTTATACCGGATGAGAACAAGTAAAAGAGTTTGATTAAAATGTTAATCCTCTTAAAGTGATGAACTTCTCTTGTATCTCAGCTACACTCTGAACAGAAATGGTTTTCTTCAGCTCCCATTTTGATTTTTCAGATAATCCTTGCTGAATCTCCCCAACAAGTTTTAGAATTGAGTTGGCAACACTTGATTCCCCAGAAGTCAGCTCAACTTTATGCTCTTGCAAGATTTCTAACGCATCACATATCTCCTTTCGTTTTGATTGAAGCTTCTGAATTTGATCATCAATTTCTTGGATTGCAGAAGTGTTCTTTTCCATTTCAGACTGCAACTGAGCTACTTTGTCTTTGTAGCCACTTTTTAGACTCATAACTTTGCATTTCTTGGCCTCCAAGTCACCCAAGAATTTGTCTGCCTTTTCTACGTTCTCACTGGCCTCATGGAAAGCCACACTAGCTAAGGGAATTTCTTCCACCAATTTTAACTTTGCTATCTGATCAGCACTGAGGGTATCATCTTTGCAGATTTGTGATGCAAGCATTGCAACTTCTATCACAGCATGGTTACAAGAAACCAAAGAAGAGAAGTCTCCAGCAAGAAGGGTAGAAAGCTTCTTCTTGCAGCACTCTATCGTTTGATCATCCATAGTTTTGGTGGAAGGAGCCACATGATCTGATGAACTCTGAGAATGAGGCATAACAAGCATGTCCTCCAAGTTATCAAGATAGTCCTCAAAATTCTCTAAAACAGTGGTCACAATGGGATACTTCTTCTCCCCACATATCTCCATGCCAGATCCTTTTTCACAATCCATATTGCCATAAAAAATCTCAGTTGTGTCAGTTTTCACCACTTCATCGTCCAGAATGCATAAATTAAGAATGTCATTTGCATCTTGATCAGGGGCTAAAGACTGACGACCTACACGAGCACCTAGTCTGGAAGATTTCCTAGATGATTGACAGCGGATTTGTGTTCTACGTTTTAACTTCCTATGGGTGCTGCTAATCTTTTCTGTGGTATCTTCTTCAATCTCCACTGCCTTCAGTGCAGGGGTAATGGGCGTAGATTGTACAGCTAGAAAAGGTCATATATACATCATTTAATCAGAAACATATACAATGAAGAAAGGAAACATAAGTTGCTAGAATCTGAGCTAAAAGTGAAGTTCTTCAGTAGCATATATAAGAGTATCCCAACTTATTTCACAAACTTGACTTGACTTGCTCATTTTAGGACTAAAATGTTCATCTCGTCACCTTCACTTTGCAAGCAATTCAGAAAGACAACCGACCCACCACCACACATAAAAAATAAACAGAGGAAATAATCAGAAATGGAAATCATCACTAACATGTCATCCTATTAATCTAGTATTACACAATGTCATCAACAGGAGACCAAGTAAGCCAAGACAGGTAGGTCTTTTATGCAGGAAAAATGGAAGAGAATATAAACACCAGGTTGAAAAGAAAATTGCAAAACCGTAATATGCAGCAAACCTTTTGTGGGAGTTTTCCCAGTAGAGGGTATCTGCCAGCTAAACAAATCAAAGAATGCTTCAATGCTCATGCTAGGAAAATTTGATTCGATGTATCTCTCAATATCAGGCTTGGTTCTCAAGCTATGTCTCTTGTTAGAAGGAATCTGAAGAGATTTTGGCGGATAAAGGTGCCTATCTAGAAAATATCCAGCCTTGTTTGTCCTGCTCAACACTTTCCAGCCCCATATATCACCAGGATTTGGCCACCCTTCAGGTGCATACGGCAAACCTTCACCAGAAGAATTAGGTGACACTGGTTGAAGATCAAAGGTTTTATCGTCACAAGAATTGCTTGCAATTGGAGAACCATTCTCCTTTTCATCCTGGTAACTGCAATAACACAAGACAGCGTCAACTGAAGAATGAATAACCATACACTCACTGCCTTTTTTCAAATTTCAGCCAACTAATGCAGAGATTATCACAAAATACTGCGTGTATACAAAGGTAGAAAATTGTTGCTTACTTCATTCAGCACTTAGGAATTAAGCTAAATATATTAACCATGGCCTCACAGTTAAAAAAAGGTGAAAGAATAGCTTTTCAAACTCCAACAAGACAAAATAAAATGTTGAAAGCCCACAATGAGAGAGATGTAATATGCAAAACAAATCAAGAGTTTTCAGCAGTTAATTGGTAGGCACAACATTGTCTCATCACTTTCTTGTGTCATGCAGCATCTTCTGAGAATTAGAAGAGTGGAGCCAGTGAACAAGGGGTATGTACAGTGTCACTGTGATCAACTTAAACTATGATGTTTAAAACCAAACACTTTTTTCATACAAAAGTCTAGTGGAAATATCTTTTAACAAGTTCAACAACATTTACACGAGACTTAAAACAAGAAAGTTTTCAATAATCAACATTTTTACATGTAGAAGCAGACATATCTTCAAACATGGGTAACATTTAAGCCTTAAAGGGTAAGGTTTAAGATCTTCACAAGATCTCAGTAGAACACAAATAAATTGATAACAACCAAGCCATAATCAACATGGTCAAAAGCCTCAGAAAAACCCCTTCTTGGTTTCCTGACAAACTAGATTACTGTTTTGTCCAAATCACATTGATATTGTAAATGATCAGCAGGTTTTGTTAACCAAAAAAAAAAGTTGATATTTTTTTAAACAAGAAGAAAAAAATGGAACATTATCAAACATCAGAGAACAAAAATGAAGAACAAAAAGTAAGAAGAAAAAGGTGAAAACTTACCAGATAGGAATGGAAGGGTTTGATGGAGCCATGGAGGAAGATGGAAGGGTCACAAGGGATGACTGAATTGCAACCAATACTGTGTGCCTGTGATGATATATATTTGGTAACATTCCTGCAAAATGGGTCCACCTCACAGTTTCATTTTTTATTAATTAACCTACATGTTTTCTTACAAAGATTTTTAATCCTTCACAAAAATTCAAAACATACGAAAAGAATATCTTTTTTACACAGGAGGTTACAACTCATTTTAAGTATTTTAGGTATTAAAAATTGATCATTTTTAAATTTATAATGAGAAAAGGAGATTAAAGAATAAAATAATAAATATAAGGTGTCTATAAAAATTTATTAAATGTGAAAATAATAATACCTTACAAAACTTTTGATTTTCAAATATCATTTCCTAGGATTTTAATTGGTCAAAGATTTTATTTTGACTGTGGTTCCTCAAACTTATCCTATAAATTATTTATATTCTATCTTTTCATTACTCATCACATCATGTGGCATTTATTTACTTCCAGCTGTATTTTATTTTTAATTATGAATTTTAAAAAATCATAAGAAGAATAAGTGATTCCAAACACTGATATTCCTAAGAAGAAATCATTTATCAACATGAATAATAAAGACGGAGTCATATTTTAAAGTACATCTTTAATTTTCCCTTTACTAAAAAATCTTTATTATATAACTTATTTTTTTTAATTTTTGAAAAAATAAATCAAATTGTATTTTAAAATTAGAGTTTAATTTTTAAACAAATTGAAATCATATAGAACTTCAAACAGAAATTATATTTCAAAAGACAAATATTACTTATTTTAAAGAAGAATTAAAAACAAAAAGTTACTTTAAAAAATTTATTCTTTTCAATAACCATCCGAGTTTTAAAGCATAACTAATTCCTAGGGTATTTTTCAAAATATTTTCTAAAATACGGTTATTTTTCATAACTTTTTAAATGCTCCTCTAGTGGTAAAAATAGCTCTCTTGTGTCCTTTAATATTATTTATTTATCTTCGGATTACCACTCTACTTAAAAGTTAAAAGATGTATATCAAGAGTAAATAGACCAGTTACAATTAAAAAAAAAAAAAACTTTATAAGGAGAAAATAAGTAAATCAACTCTTATAAGTAACTTTATCAGTAGAATTTTAATATTTTAATTAGTAAAAAATAATTTATTAGGTTTAACAAAGTAATACTTAAAACTAAGTATTATATTCACTAGTGTAATAAAGGAAAATGACAATGGTTATTTTTGTTTATACACAGTAATTAACGAACCAAAGTATATCCCGTTGAAGCAAAAAAAGATAGTTTATTTTTTGTTTCGGTTCTCGGTTCTGAACCAAGACAAAAGAGGAGATCTTTTGCCTCAATTCATAGCAACCAAGATAATAAATCAGGTCTTTTTGCATCGGTTCATAACAAAACAATTATATTAAATCTATACTCAAATCCAAATTTATTCATTAACTTGGACCTAAGAAGCCTTACATTTATCATAAAACCTTGTAATGTATTGCAGCAACACTTCTGGCTCCACTTGGTCTAACAAACCGATCAAATTCCTCTTGATATGGTAAGTTAACTTATGGCATCGCCCGACGAGAAGTCTCACCCCTAATCCTGCTATAAGAACCTCGTTCAACTCTTACCACCTAAACTAGAACACTCTATGTGAGTTTGTAAGTCTAATACTAGTATAAAATGACTTATGCCCAACACGTATCTCTGGTCAATCCATAACACTAAACTAACAAGGATTTGTACTTCTTTCTTAGAAACTAAAACCCTAAACAAGCATACAATTCAAATCTTTTCTCATTCCACTCCATTCCTCCACTTTCATACTTATAACAATATCATAGTTCCATAGAACACATCTCTTAGCACCAATCATTTCAATTTGTACATTCCCTTACATCATTATGGAAACTACATTCAATATAATTCTCAATAAACATTACCAAATGGGTAAACACTATCACAAGAAATAGTCATAGAACAACCTATGACACATAACTCATTCATCACATGTCATGAATATAACATAGTCTCATGCAATCTTAAATCATCACACCATAACAAACAAAGATATCGTAAATTCAAACATATTCATGATTCACAATACATCAACATGCATACATTACTTTTCATGTCACACCATCTTAAGTATATTACACAATAACTTAACATCACATGTGCAAAAAAATCGTTGGAGATTTAAAATAAAATAAAATAAAACTACAACTTCCACAAAACTCGAAAACTTATGTTCTTACATTCAAATTAAAACCTAATTGGGTAACTATGGAAAACGTTATGCACCAAATAAGCAACAAATGTCAAAGATGTCAATAACTTAAATTTTGGGAATCTTACACTAACAATTGCTTTAACTACAAACATCCAACTTAAAATTTAAACAGTCAAAGTGAATATTCATGTGTCTAGAACAATTTGTCAATGTTTTAGCTCCTCCAACGATTAACGAAGAAAAAATCTTAATTTTTCAGAGATGACTTGAACCAGAAAAATAGGGGTAGCTAAAACCTCATGGAACTCACTGTCTTAAGAGCGCCCGATGGTTCAAAAGTGGCACTCGATGCCATGGACCTCTAGGCTCTCTGACTTAAATTTTCAGATGGCGCCCGATGATCTTGTGGTGTTGTCCAAATGTTGTATCAATAGAAACCCAAAACTAGTTCCCCCAAGCAATAACCCCAAACAAATAGATAAATCCATCTTAACCAAAATCATGAACATCATCAGTTTAAAACCACAACAACCCATCTCAAATTCATCATTTCAAATAATGGAATCAAACATGAAAAGGTTACGACTAACTTTCCTTACCTAAAAAATAGTTGGCCTTAAACAAAACCCTAAGTTTAAGAGATTGACTTGTTCTATGGTAAAAGAAAATTTGGAAAGGATGAAGATCTCCCCCGACATGTGGTTGTACAATGATGGGTGGAATAAAATTTGAAAGAGATGGATCTCTTCTCCTCTAAGGTGTTGTCGTGTTAAGGTGAAGAGAGGAAAAACTAGAGAGAATGGGGCCAAGAGGGTGGGGGTAGAGAAAGGGAAAGAGAGAATGATAGAAGAGGAGGGGTGCGTTTATAGGGTTTATATTATCCCAAACAAAAAAAATCAATCTAAAAAATTCACTTATTAGGTAAGAGATAAGGACATAATATCCTTATTTCGTCATATAACACCCATCAAGATTCATCTAACCTATTGTACCCCAACACACTTATTAGACTTAAATTATGCCTTTGTGCTATTTAATACAATGCTCAAGAGTATAAATTGGCCTAGCCATCGCTTCTAAGGACAATTACTCAACCTCAACTCTATAGTTTGAATAATCCTTTTTGTTTACCATTAGTCCGTAAATGATACTCATCTCCAAACTGTTCATCATTTCTTCTTATGGGATTTGTCAAAATTTAAATATAACCTTGGGTCTCTATCGTAAACATGCTAATTAGCACTTTGCACCACCTTACAATATCCTGATGCACAACTCAACCAACTTAATCATATATAACTTCTAGCACACTTACAAGAAATAAACACTCTTGGTCAACCTATCCATAACAACCCTATAACATCATGTCTCTCTTACTGACTTAAGCCAATGGATAACAAAGTTCATAATAATGTGATCCCACTTCCAAACTAGAACTTTCAATTTTTGCAACAACAAAACTAATTATGATACCATCTTCACTTTCTAATTCACTAACATGTAACCATCCCTCAACAACATCTTGGTTTAACTCATCACTTGCAAACCTACTAACTACTCCCTTAAACCTGGGAACTTTATCTTCCATCAATCTTGAAATTGTTAACTTAATCATTACCTAACACTTTCATGGTAAGTCTCAACTAAGATTGTTTGATTATCTTTCCTTAACCATTTTAAGGAATTCACTAGTCGTAGTCAAATGACTACACTAATGAAGTCTCCACAACTTCAGGCTTAGATAGTTGAACTTTTACACCAACTCTTCCACATTTTCACCACCAAGGAGACACCATAACTCAAAATAAACTTTTTTTTATTTGATTGTTTTTTTAAAAAAGAAATCATTTTTAATTAAAAGTTATCTATAAAATAAATAAAAGCTTCTTACGATAACATTATAAAAAATATTTATATTTAATAATAACAACAATAATAATTTTGTTACTCGTTATTATCATAAAAAAGTAAACACAGTGTAGATAGACTTTCAATCTTTGTTAAACATGGTATCATCTAAAGATGACAAATAACCTTGTTCTGGTGGATATTATCCTAACACATTTCTTTTATACTGGGAATCTCTGCACTAATTGGATATATGAATGAATGTGGGTACCTGATTTTTAAATTGGGTATGGTGAGGAAGATGAGTATGTATGAATCTCTTTGTTCTCATCCCAATATTCATCCCCATTCTCATACCTCTTTAAACTACTAAAATATCCATAATTTATTAGGTAACTTAAAATATCCATAATTTATTAGGTAACTTAAAATATCCATAATTCTTAAAATATCTAATGATAAAGGTATATTATATTCTAGTAATTAAATTTTTCAATTTTATTTATCATATCATATTTAATTTTACTTTTTCTTTTTTATGTCTAGGTTGATCGAATCAAAGTGAAACACTTATCATTTATCATTTGCAAAATTAATAAATGTTTTGATTATTATGGAATATTAGTTGTGTAAGTGTTTAGTATTTATAATTTTTTTTTAACTTTGTAGTTATTATTTCATACTCTAATTTAATATTTTTTTAAATATTATTATTTTTTTTAATATTTGATACCCTGAAAAAAAGAAAATATATTATTTTAATATTGAATATTTTGATAATATCATGTCAAACCCTGAAAATGACATCTCGAAGGGAGTGACAAATGTCTCAAAAACAAGAGAGTGAGCATTTTATAGAATTTCCCAAACCACAACTCATCTCATTTTCTAAAAAATATGCATCTCTCTAAAACTCAAGCCTATACCTTTTCTCCT